TTGAGACAGAGTCTTGTTCTGCTGCCCAAGCTGGAGTGCAATGGCATGATCTCTGCTCACTGCAGCCTCCACCTTCCAGATTGAAGCAATCCTCATGCCTCAGCCTGCTGAGTAGCTGGGACTACAGGCACGTGCCACCATGCCCGGCTAATATTTGTATTTTTAGTAGAGACAGGATTTCACCATGTGGGCCAGGCTGGCCTTGAACTCCTGACCTCATGTGATCCGCTCATCTGGACCTCCCAAAGTGCTGGGATTACAGGCGTGTGCCACCGCGCCTGACCCAGTTTTTACTATTTGTATAGTTCATATTGTCCTTTATATTTTGTCATATGTGTTTGTTCATATTTGTTCAGAACTGTTGTAGAAAGTCCAGATTCTGCATGGTATATTAAAATGAGTCTGTTAGAATAATTTCTTTTACTTATAATCTTTTTATAAGGAGGAATGCTATTAGGTGTGCTTTTCTATCCTAAAACATCTACATAATCTTGTGTATAGATTAAGTCATATTAATCCAATGAGAAATAAATCAGCAGGTTAATTACTCATCCATTCTTTAATTCAGCAAATATTTATTGAGCACCTGCCATGTACCAGGCACCATTCTGGGCACTGGTGACACAGCAGTGAACAAACCAAGAAAACAGCCCCTTTTTCTCAGGAAGTTTACATGCTGGTAGGGAGAGACAGACAAGAAACAAAACAAATAAGTGCATGTAGTATTTTAGAAGGTGATAGTGCTACGGAATAAAAAACAATGAAGGGGGCATCCGAGAGCTGGGATGAGGCACGAGGTGCCTAAATAGAGTATTCACTTCACTGAGAAGGTGACATTCAATCAAAGATGAAGAAGGTGAGGAGAGAATCCTGCACCTACCTAGAGAAAGAGCAGCCAGGCAGAAGGGTCAACAAGTTCAAAGGCATCGAAAAAGAAACCTTCTCTTGCTTCCTGTTTTTGAGAGACAACAAAGAGAAAGAGTGTGGCTGGAGCAGAGAGCAGGGGGAGAGTGGTAGGAAGAAGTAGAGGAGGTAAGAGGGGAGGCGAGAAGAGAGTGTAGGGCCTCAGGCCTTGCAGTCTGGTGAAGGGACATCACCTTTCACTCTGTGTTAGATGGGAAGCCAGGGGGGCTCTCCAGCAGAGGAGTAATCCGATGTATTTTAAAAGGGTCACTGTGACTGCTGTGCTGAGAATAGACTATAAGGGAACAAGAATGGGAGCAGGAACACCAGTTAAGGGGCTATTCAGGTCATGTAAGGAAAAGATGGCAGTACTGTGGATCAGGGTGGTAGAAATACCAGTGGCAGTAGCGGTAGTATAACATATATATAAAATATATATATAGTAGTATGATAGTATATATAATATAGTATAATGTATATTATATACATAATACAACAGCTACACCATATACGTACTACCATATATGTTAATATATATACTATTATATATAGTATATATAATAAGATTTTCAGACAGATGATATGTAGGAGACAGAATGAATCAAGAATGATTGAAAGGTTTAGACCAAAAAATCTGAAAATATTGACTTGTTACAAATTGAAAAAACATGTAGTGAGGGAGGAGCATGTTTACTGGGAAAGATCAGGCATTCAGTTTCAGATATCACAAGTATGTGAAGTCTAAATTCAAGCAGAGATTTCTACTAGGAAGTCAGATATCAATTGGAGTTCAGGGAGAAGATCAGGGTGGGCATATAAACTTAGAAATTTAAGTGAACAAAACGTCCTTTTTTTTCCTATTCTAGAATAAGTGTTCTACCAAACATAGTTTCTTTGGGACTATTAAAATAAACTTTTTTCATAGTATTGGAAATCCATGAGATGAGCCAGGCCATATATAACAAAGCAAAACGTACGATATTTATGGAATACTTACCTATTCATTTATTCCACAAATATTTAGGGAGTGCTTCCTGAATATTATACAATAAGAATACAAGGACACAAAATATGCCTTGTCAGCCCTCAAAACACTCTAGCTGGGTTGAGGTCATTGTAAACAGGCTGTGGCAGCACAATGGGATGAATGCTGCTGGAGAGGTCTCAGGTTGTTATGGAAGCTGTAGGAGTTTATGAAGACGTATTAGTCATTGACTTTTTCCTGGGGCAGCTTCAGACTCGTTGGAAAGATCAAACACACAAAAAGTCGCATAACTCTAAAAGATGTAAATAACCTTCAAGATAACAAAAGCCACATCATAAGGCAGCAGATGAACACTTGTTGAACGTTAATATCTGCCTTAGAGTTCAAAAGAGGAAGAAGTCTTTCCAGGCTAGGGTAACAGGAAAGGCTTTGCTTGGGTGGAATTTGGGAACATTCAAGTTGAATGATCTAAGCAAAGAGTTGAATATGTAGGGCTAGATCTTGGGTGAGAAGACTTGGTTGGAGATTTGGGAGTTGTTTCAAAGGTGAAAGTATAGCCCTAAAAGTGGATAAAACCTCCATGGGAAAAAAAAAAATGTGAACAGAAAAAAAGTAGAAGGAAAAAGTAGAAGGCTAAGGACTTACCATTATTTAAATACCCACTTTCAGGAGCTGGCAAAAAACATAGAAAAAGGAGCCAGAGAGATAGAAGAACAAGATATCACAGAGGAAAGAGGCATAAATGTCCAACAGAAATCTAGGATGCATAAGAATAGCCTTATGCATGGATTCATATGCAGTTTTACTTCCTGTAAAACTTATATGAAATTATCTTACCTGATAAAGGAATCTAAGTAGACAGCCAAAGCATGGTTAAACACTAATCTAGACTCTAGCAGTCTGGCTTCCTTTGAGCAAAATGGAGGTGATAATTACTGGGTTATCACCTTGAAGAGCTTAGACCAGGAAAGGGCCTTAAAAATCACTAATTTTGGCCAGGCGCGGTGGCTCATGCCTGTAATCTCAGCACCTTGGGAGGCCGAGGTGGGAGGATCACAAGGTCAGGAAATCGAGACCATCCTGGCTAACACGGTGAAACCCCGTGTCTACTAAAACTACGAAAAATTAGCCGGGCGTGGTGGCGGGCACCTGTAGTCCCAGCTACTCGGGAGGCTGAAGCAGGAGAATGGCTTGAACCCGGGAGGCGGAGGTTGCAGTGAGCTGAGATTGCACCACTACACCCCAGCCTGGGTGACAGAGTGAGACTCCGTCTCAAAAAAAAAGAAAAGAAAAATCACCAATTTTTAAAGTGAGGATAGTTAGGCCTCTAGAGAAGTGCATGCCTATGGTGGATAACATAGCTATTTAGTAAGAGAACTGGGAATGGAAAAGGTTATTTTGAATTGTTTTAACTTAGACTTTTTTCTTCACTGTCTCTAAATAAGCCTAATTGGCATTCTCTTATTCTAATAATTCAGATTTAGTGAAAATAGTTAAATGAATTTTAAATGTGTAGTTTTGTTTTTTCAAATGGTAAATATTTTGGCTTGCCTGTTTTGCCTATTTATAATCTAAATCTATTTGGGAAAATGCTTCACTCTAATTATGCCCTCCTGAGGCCACTTTATCCACTCAAACATTTTCTATCTTTGAAGGCAAAGTGCAAATTCAACTCCTAATGCAGCTTTCTCTGATCACCCCAGTAAGAACTGACTACCCTTTCTTACGGGCTCCCCCGGAGTCAACGTTTTTCAAACTTAGGCTGAAACTTCTTAGTGAGTCATGAAATCCATCTGGTGGGTCACTCCCAGAAAAAGAAACAGGAAATATCAGGGTACATCACACGGAGTGATGGTGACAATTACTTTTTGAAACACTTACTTCAATTAAGAGTGTATGCATATGTACTAGATTGCAATGTAACATGTAAAAGTTGAAAAGCACAGGTCTGGGGGATCATAATGTAAAACACATATCTTAACATGTCATAACCAGCTGTATGGCCACGTAGCTCTTTCAGAGTTGGGACTTTCTTGATCTATATATCCCTCATGCCCAATGTCCTACCTGGTGGGTACTCAGGAGTTGTTGACTGGAATGATTATGAAGGTTTGGGAAGGATTTGGAAGACTGAAAAGCAGGTAGGTTGGGGAGGAAATGAGGGCTTGAATTAAGTGTAAATTTTTTAGTTTCCTTTACCTTGGATGTTAATATATTTTTTTTCAACCTGATATTATTGCCACCAAGAACCCGTGTTTGGTATCTGTGCTGTGGGATTGTCTCGCATCACCTTCAGTGTAATGTGGTATAAATAATACTTCCTGCTAATGTTGCAGCTGTCACTCAAGGATCTTAAATTACTTTAGGAGCAAGATCTGTGATGAGTGCCCGGCTCCACTTGGCAGGTGCCAGCGTTAAGAACCAGTGACTGCCTGAAATCTTTGGGCTCCAGGATGACAGCTCCCTCTTTGTCATCCTCCCACACTCTCTTCTGCCCATCCCTTCTTCCATGGAGGGAGGATCCCTTGACCCTGCCTCTTTCTGAACTTTGTAACTGGTTAACAGAAGTCTGCAAAGATTCCACTGAGCTAGAAGATTTGCTGTTTCTTTGTGGGTAGCTATGGTGTGTTTTGGGGGATGGCTCATGGCAATAAAGGCTATTAATTGAACTGCCTCAGAGCTCGAAAAGCTTGGGGCTGAAAATTGCAAAGGAACTCATTAGAGGTGAGCTCTGGATTATCAAAGGAAATGGAGACTCCTCTGGTTAGAAGCTCTTTGAGATTTGCACTGGACAGAAAGGGGATATTTGACATGTGGTTACCATTTTGTGGGCCATTTTATGTACATGTGGTGTTTTCTATAGCAACCTTATTTCTTGCTTCTGGCCACACACCTTTTGGTCTTATAGTCCAAATCAGCCACAAGTCACTTAAATACCCCCTCCCCACCCTTTATTTCCTTCTCTTCTTTGCAACCTCACTGTCACCTTGAATTACTCCCCTCCGCCTTTCCTGGAAGCTCTTGGGGGTCATTCTCTCCTTTCCGAGAAGCTGTCAACTGCCTACAGTTGGGCCTGGGAGGCTCCAGGAGGGTGACAGCAGAGTCCTGGCTTGGAGTCGGGTTACACCACTTGTGTCTGAGTTCACGCAGTATGTTCCTCTGTCAGGGATTCCACAAATATCTCCCTGAGGTAAAAAAGGAAAGTGTGCTGCGCTCCAGCACCCAGAGCAGTGAGCCCAGTCCTGAGTCCCGGAGAGAGCTCCAGCAATAGGGGCCATGTCGCCATAGCCCCAGCCTCTCGGTCCGCAGCCTCAGCAGCGTCCCAGCCGGCTGGCTTCATGCTGCGGTGCAGCTGCGCCATGTTCCTGGGTTGAGGGGGCAATCGGGCACGCTCCTCCCCATGGGTTGCCCATCATGTCTAATGGATATCGCACTCTGTCCCAGCACCTCAATGACCTGAAGAAGGAGAACTTCAGCCTCAAGCTGCGCATCTACTTCCTGGAGGAGCGCATGCAACAGAAGTATGAGGCCAGCCGGGAGGACATCTACAAGAGGGTGAGTGCAGGGGCCCGCTTCTCCAGGGCAGGGGCAGGGGCAGGGGACGGTTTGGCCTGCCAGTCGGTCGCTATTCCAGGCTCTTCCTAGCTGGCGCTGTTCTAGTCAGCGAGAGAGATGGGGTTTCCTCCAGCTCTGGTCACCTTAACAACCTGTGACCTTGGACAAGCTCATTTCACCTCTCTGGTGCCTGCTTTCTGCTTTCCTTCTCTGTAAAGAAAGAGGGCCGGAATAAATCAGAGGCTCTCTCAAACTCTGACGTGGAATGGTGCGGAACAATCACCTTGGGAGCTGGTTTAAAATGTAGATTCCATGCCTCACCCTAGGGATTCCGATTTAGTAATTTGGGGGAAGGTGGGGTTAGAGGGTGGGGCTGGGGTGGATATTTGCATTTTTAAAATTTATTTATTTATTTTAGAAACAGGTCTTGCCCTGTTGCTCAGGCTGGAGTGCAGTGTCACCATCATAGCGCTGAAGCCACCAACTCTTGGGCTCAAATGATGCTTTCTGGCTCAGCCTCCTGAGCAGCTGGGACCACAGGCACGGGACACCAGGCCCAGATAATTAAAAAAAAAAAAAATGTTGGCAGGTCACAGTGGCTCATGCCTGTAATCCCGGCACTTTGGGAAGCCAAGGCAGAGAGAGGGCTTGAGGTCAAGAGTTTGAGACCAGCCTGGCCGACACAGTGAAACCCCATCTCTACTAAAAAAAATACAAAAATTAGCGGGTGTGGTGGCACGTGCCTGTAGTGCGAGCTACTTGGGAGGCTGAGGCAGGAGAATTGCTTGAACCCAGGAGGCGGAGGTTGCAGTGAGACAAGATTGCACCACTGTACTTCAGCCTAGGTGACAGAGCAAGACTCTATCTCAAAAAAAAAAAAAAAAAAAAAAATCGTACCAAAGGGCTGGCACTATGTTTTCCAGGCTGGTCTCAAACTCCTGGCCTTTAGATCCTCCCACCTCAGCCTCCGCAGTTGTTGGCATTATAGGCATGAGCCACTTTGCCTGGCAAAATGTGCATTTTTAAGCAAGATCCCTGAGGTGGCTCTGAAGCGGACCATCTCCAGGTCATACCTCTCCCAGAGAAAGGCCCTTCCCAGCTCCAGCTTGGTGGGACAGAGAATGATGCTATGGAGAAAAGGGCAGGGGCTAAGGGTGTTTCTGTTCCTTGAGAAATTCATGTTTGCTTTTGAAGATCACTATGCAGATAAGCTTTTAAGACAGAATCTTAGGCATTTTTAGTCTTTGGAATAGCTTGCCTTAGAATGAAGAAGAGAGTAACCTGTGGGATAGCAGTTGGCCTGGGTGGAGTGGGAGGGGAAATGGCCGCTTCCTTGGATGGGAGGGCTATCTTGATTGACGGGTCAGTGATCGGGATGGGGAAGGAAGACCTACTGGATTGGCTGAGCTGTGGGTGAGATAGGACAACACCTTGGTAAGAGGACATTGGGCTATGGGTTATGAAGATTAAGCCTCATAGCTGGTCACCACAATATTGGTTTCCTCAGTCCTCTCTGTGTCTGGACAAGCAGGACCTGAAGTGGCCCAAGTGACTGGGGACTGGTTGCTTCTGAGCTTATCAGAGATTCTAACTCTCCAACTGTTTACCCCAGAGGACTATACAAATATCATTTTCTATGTGTGCCCTGTCCTGTCAAGAGGATGACTGGGAAGCATTACAGGCTGCTAGATAACATCTTGGATCAGGGGAATAGCTGGTGTCTATGAGCCCCAAATGATTATTTGGTAAATTCAATTAACATGTATAGCTAAATCTGGGGGATTTAACCCTATTTCCTGTCTCTCCTGCGTTTCCATGTTTTAAGTCCAAATTTTCCAGAAGTTGGTCCGTATTCACCTTTTATCTTTTATGTAGCTATATAATGAGTGTCCCTCATTGGAGCTGCCAGGAGTCAAGAAGGATATTGCCAAGTGAGGGCTGGTAACAGAGAGATTGCGAGAGATGGAGGATGTGTGGGAGGATTTGCCTTAGGGTAGGAATAGTGAATGGATTTGTTCACTGTGCACAGGGAGGAACTTTCCCCATTAACTGTCTTCAAGGCAAAGAAGGAAAGGACAATTTCTTAGGTAATTTGAGGGAAAGGAGTTTTGTTTTTTGTTTCTATTTTTTTTTTGAGACAGAGTCTCACTCTGTCACCCAGGCTGAAGTGCAGTGGCACAATCTCAGCTCACTGCAACATCCGCCTCCTGGGTTCAAGTGATTCTCCTGAGTGGCTGGGACTACAGACGCCTGCTACCACAGCTGGCTAACTTTTGTATTTTTAGCAGAGACATGGTTTTACCATGTTGGCCAGGCTGGTCTCGAACTCCTGACCTCAGGTAATCCGCCCACCTCAGCCTCCCAAAGTACTGGGATTACAGGCGTGAGCCACTGCGCCCCGCCAGGATTTTTTTTTTTTTAAAACTTGAATCAGATG